TCCAATGTGGGACCTCAAGCCCATGACCCCAAGATCAAGAGTCACATGTTCTTCCAACTGAGCTGGTGAGGCCCCCACCAGAAGTTTTCTAAAAAGGAAAAGGAATATGGAGGAGCCTACCTTACCAGATCTTAAATGTGTTAAAAATAAATAGTGTACATAAGAAACAAAATGATGATGATGAAGATAGCACTTTTTGAGTATTGACTACCTCAATCTCACGAAGGGTTCTGTTATTATCCCCATATTTCCAAAGATGAAAGAATGTACAAAGATGACCAATAATATGGCCAAGTTCCTATAGTTGTCAAGTAATTGAACTGGGAGTACACTCCAGGTAGCCTGGGTCCTGGAGAAAACAGAAACTCTGGAAATAGTAGTATGCTTTAGAATGTGCTAATGATTCCATCTGTATTGGAGAGCAGGGAAGAACAGGGGAGAGGCAGCCCTTATTTACAATGGACACAGGTCAGCTACACTGTGGCACTGCCTTTTGTTGGGATATCAAGCCTCTATTAAAAGTGCAGCTTATGAAATGTTTGTCCTGATTTAGAAAACTTAGAAATAGTTACATGTTGAAGTTAAGAAGATAAGGTTCCTTGTCTGTTACTGGTGCAGGGCCCCTGAAAGGTGTTTTGAAATTCACTGGACCTATTTCCTGATTAGTAACAAGGGAACATAGTCTTAGTTTGGGTGTCGGGGTGGGAGGCTCATATAATAATATCTTACTTGGGACATCCTGAGTGCTCAGCAAATGGCAACCAAAAAAAGTAATTGATGTTATATTAGTGAATTAGGATCATATAATTTGTTGAATTACATTTAATTTAATTTAATAATGTAGATACTTTTGGCACAATAACAGACACTCAGATCACTGGAACAGAATAGAGAACCCAGAAATGGACCCACAAATGTATGGCCAAGTAATCTTTGACAAAGCAGGAAAGAATATCCAATGGAATAAAAACAGTCTTTTCAGCAAGTGGTGCTGGGAAAACTGGACAGTGACATGCAGAAAAATGAAGCTGGACCACTTTCTTACACCATACACAAAAATAACCTCAAAATGGATGAAGGATCTAAATGTAAGGCAAGAAGCCATCAAAATCCTCGAGGAGAAAGCAGGCAAAAACCTCTTTGACCTCAGCCGCAGCAACTTCTTACTCAACACGTCTCCAGAGGCAAGGGAAACAAAAGCAAAAATGAACTATTGGGACCTCATCAAAATAAAAAGCTCCTGCACAGCGAAGGAAACAATCAGCAAAACTAAAGGGCAACCGACTGAATGGGAGAAGATATTTGCAAACGACATATAATATGTATCCAAAATCTATAAAGAACTTCTCAAACTCAACACCCAAAAAAACAAATAATCCAGTTAAGAAATGGGAAAAAGACATGAATAGACATTCTCCAAAAAAGACATCCAGATAGCCAACCAACACATTAAAAAATGCTCAACATCACTCATCATCAGGGAAATACAAATCAAAACCACAATACAAATCAAAATCACACCTGTCAGAATGACTGACATTAACAACTCAGGCAACAACAGACGTTGGTGAGGATGCGGAGACAGAAGGTCCCTTGCACTGCTGGTGGAAATGCAAACTGCTGCAGCCACTCTGGAAGACAGTGTGGAGATTCCTCAAAACATTAAAAATTGAACCACCCTACGACCCAGTAATTGAGCTACTTAGGTATCTATCGAAGGGATACAGGGTGTGCTGTTTCAAAGGGGCATAGTTTATAGCAGCACTATCAACAATAGCCAAAATATGGAAAGAGGCCAAATGTCCATCGACGGATGAATGGATAAAGAAGAAGTGGCATGTATGTATATGTGTGTGTATGTGTGTGTGTGTGTGCGTGTGTGTGTACACACACACACAATGGAGTACTACTTGGCAATCAAAAAGAATGAAATCTTGCCATTTGTAATTATGTGGGTGGAACTAGAGAATATGCTAAATGAAATCAGTCAATCCGAGAAAGACAAATATCATATGACTTCACTCATATGAAGAACTTAAGACACAGAACAGATGAACATAAGGGAAAGGAAGCAAAAATAATATAAAAACAGGGAGGGGACAAAACATGGGAGACTCTTGAATATGGAGAACGAACAGTGTTACTGGAGGAGTGTGGGAGGCGGATGGGCTGAACCGATGAGGGGCATTAAGGAATCTACGCCGGAAATCATTGTTGCACTATATGCTAACTAACTTAGATGTAAATTAAAAAATAGATACTTTTAAATTTTAGGTTCCATTGACTTTTTAAATTCATTGGAGGGCAATCAGGAATATTTTGATTGAGCATCTAGTGTGTCCTAGAAAAAGAGCCTATGATTACACTAACAGAAGGTTTTCACTGTAAATGGGAGGGTGTGTGGCAGCAATTTCCCCTTGTGTTCACCCGTAATCAGGGATGCTGAAGCCTCACTATACAGTTGACTCTTGAACATGCGGGGTTAGGGACACCAGCCACATGCAGCTGAAAATCCACGTACAAGCTTTTGCTGACGGAAACAAAGGCAAGAGAAATGTGGCATAAATTAAATCTCCTTACAGCTCGCAGCCCAGTGGCAGACACCTGACATAAGTAGAATTTGACCTTCCTCGAGGAACTCAGGGCTTCCTTATTTCCTTAATGTTTTTGTTTTATTAAAGACTAAAAGTAACCTCATCTTAACAGCAGCTAGCCCCTCAAGGTCCTGAAAGCCTTGCTTCCAAATTCCTTGGAGACTTATGCTATCCCTAACCCCCACTAACTTAAAAGTATATAATCAGTCACGACTCACAACCCCAGTGCAGCTTTCTGTCTACGAGTCCTGTCCCCCTGCTTTAATAAAATCACTTTTTTTGCACCAAAGACGACTCAAGAATTCTTTTCTCGCCATTTGCTCAAGAACTCCATCACTTTGATCCCCCTAAATCTTAACTACTAATAGGTGCTGTTGACCAGAAGCCTTACTGATAACATAGTTAATTAACACATATTTTATATGTTATATATATTTTATATCGCATTCTTAGAATAAAGTAGGCTGAGAAAGGAAAATATTAAGAAAGTCATATGGAAGAGGGGCACCTGGGTGGCTCAGTCGGTTAAGCCTCCAACTTCAGCTCAGGTCATGATCTCATGGTTCGTGGGTTCAAGCTTCGCATTGGGCTCTGTGCTGACAGCTCAGCTCAGAGCCTGGAGCCTGTTTCAGATTCTGTGTCTCCCTCTCTCTTCGACTCTGCTCACGCTGCTCTCCCCTGCTCACGCTGTCTGTCTCAGAAATAAATTTTAAAAAAATTTAAAAATCATATGGAAGAGAAAATATATTTAAGGTACTGTATTTATTTATTTTTTAATTCAGGTATAAACGGACCTGTTTATTTGTTTGTTTATTATATGAGAGAGACAGAGAGAGAGAGAGAGCAAGAGCACACGTGAGTGTATGCTTACCTTAGAGCCCATGCTGGGCTACATCCCACCACCCTGGGATCATGACTTGAGCGGAAATCAAGAGTCCCCTGCTCAACTGACTGAGCCACTCTGGTGCCCCTGAATCCTGTAGTTTAACCCCTTTTTGTTCAAGGGTCATCTGTATTTGGTCAGTCAGAACTGCTTCCTACAACCCTGTTTTCTCTTCCCATTCCTTGAAAAGAACCTTAAAAATAGAAATATAGACTCTTCTTTTTATAAAAAGTAGAAAATGTGAGTAAGCAGAAAGAAGACAAAATGCCTAATAAAGTAATGAAGTAGAATAGTAATTCTACATGTAGGTTCAAGCAGGGTTTAACAGAGTGGCATGTATCATTCTATGTTTGTACCTTTCAAATCAGCTCATCTCACTCAAACTGTCTTGTAACCCGCCTTTTTTATTGTACAATGTATCATGACACCGTCGGGCCAATATACATTCTTCCACTGCAGAATTACTAACAACCTTCCAGGAGCCCATTCTCTTTCTGAAGTGTGATTTATTTAGCAAATCTTTCACCAGATTTTCACTTGAACAAACGCTGAAACGTTTGTGTTGCTGCCAACGTCGTTTGTATAAGCTTACAAGCTCTGGTGTCGGAGAATCTTTGCAGTGAGACCTCGACTACCTGTACAAACCAATTGGAGGTCCTCCTGGCCCCTCACTTTTGCAGCGCCCTCCGCTCGCTGTGTAAAGGAGCCCACAGCTCACCCTGGTGGCAAATTCCACCGGGGCAGAGGCCGCCTTGTGTCCAGGCCAGGACGCTGGCCGTTTACTGATTTCCATCCGTCTTTCCACCTAGATGGGCAAGAACCCGGGACCCGTCCGGGCCATCCCAGCTCGGAAGATCTCTGGGCTGAGGCCGGGGCGCTCGGGCCTCCCCAGGGCCGCTCTCGGGGCCTCCTACAGGAGCCCCGCTCTGGGCCGCACACCCCAACCGTCTGCAGGGGCCTCTGTCCTGATCTGGTCTCCTGCGGGCGGGGGTCTGGACGTGAAAGGCGCCCTCCTCCCGCAGGGGCCAGGGTGGGGGCGCGGGAGGGGACGTCTGCTCCGCGCACCCGCGCCTGGCGTGGGGTCAGCCGAGGGTCACAGCTGTCTCCCGCTCCCGCCACCGTGGCGCGAAGGTCTTGGCGCCTTTCCCCCCGCCGAGCGGGGCTCCCTCTACAGCCCACGACCGCCAAGGCCCTAGCCCTGCTCCTTCCTGGGTCGGAGGACGCACGGGGCCAGGATTGGCTGCCCCCGTGACCCCCAGAAACCCCCCACGGCTCCCCAGAACTCCTCGGCGCCCCACCCCCAGCCCGGGAACCCGCACGAACTCGGGCGGCCCTCCTCCACGCAGGGGCGCAGGCCCGGAGGCCGGGGTCGTCGGGCGGAGCCCTCGTCCGGATTGGCCGCGGCCTCGATACTTTGTCGCGGCCGCGCCTTCCGCGGAGCCGTGGGCAGAGCACGTGCGCTGGCGCGGAAGTGGGGCGCGGGCGGCCTGGGGCGGCCGGCGTGGGCCCCGCGGCGCCGAGAGCGGAGCGGCTGGGCAGGACTCTCGGCCTTTGCGGGGAAGGAGCACGCCCCGAAAGGTACGGGGTGGGGGGCCGGGCTCAGCGAGGCGGGGGGGGGGGGGGGGGGGGGGGGGGGGGGGCCAGGTGTGGGCACCTGGCAGAACCGCCGTCCCCCGGGTCCCTTCCGTTCTTGCCCGGGGCTGGGTCTCCTCAGTGCCCCGGGTACCCCCAGGAGGACACTTCGTTCTTGAATCCCGAGGTCACGTCTGCATGAGCCTGGCCCTTAGCCTCCTGCTCTCTCCTCCTAGAGCCAGGCCGGGGGGGGGGGGCGCGGGGGGGTCGGAGGAACCCCAGGTCCGGGGAGGAGCCCTCCCCTTTCCGTTCCCACCGAAGTCAAGGAGCCTCGGCTCCCTGGAGGGACGCGGGATCCCAGGCCTCCTGCCCTTCGCAATAGGGAGAAACACTGGGCTTGGAATTGGGATCGGGTGCTGGGCGCTCAAGTCCGAAGCCGTGGCATAGAGAACGCGTCCCCCTAGTAGGCGGCCCCAGGCGCCAGGAGCACCCACGAGGCGGTGCAGGGCCGAAAGTACTAGAAACTGCTGCTAGACCCTCCTCCAGGGTGCACACAGGGCAGCTGTGTGCAATTCTGGGCATGCATTTGTCACCACCTTTGTGGAAAGCGGTTTGGTAGCATCTACTAAAAACACAGCTGCCACGTAAGCACTCCTCTTTAACCTCGCTTACGTGAGTCTGCTCTGTAGAAGAGTAATCCTGAACCCAGGGTATTAGGGTTGTCACACTGCCTCAGTGTCCAGGAGTGGAGAGTTGTGGAAACAAGCAGATGGCCCCTTCACAGGACTGTTCATATGCACCAGGAGATTAAGTAATCAGCGCAATCTCTCTCTGTTGGTAAAAACTGCTGTATGTATACGGAGCTTTTTATTAAAAAAAGAAAAATTCACAAAGCCTTCCAATCCCTATTTGCCATAGCTTACCTGTGTGTTTTTGGGGGTGGGGTGCAGAGTAGACGACTGGGCACAGGGAGCCCCCACAAATGTTCACTCCTTTGTGTATATTTTTAACGTGTGGGATTAGGACAATCTTGAAAAACTTGTGCTTTTCAAATATCTTGGCTTTTTTTTTTTTTTTTTCAAAATCAAAATAAAAAGCAGATGGCGCTAGTCCTGGCTCTGGAAGGTCCTGTGGCTCCTCTTTGTAGGAGTGTAAGCAGTGTCTTCCCAGCCTCTGGCCCAGGGTACCCTTACTGCTCCAAGAGGCCTTGGCATCCATTGCATAGATGCTGGGGAACTCTAATGACCCCAACACACATGGTTCTTGCCCCGACTGAGCTCAGAAAAGGAGTGAAAATTACCTTGTGTGTATAAGACTGTGGGGGACGGACACCCTGGGTGGCTCAGTCAGTTGAGCGTCCGACTTCAGCTCAGGTCATGATCCCAGGGTTGTGGGATCCGGCCCTGCATTGGGCTCTGTGGTGAGCATGGGGCCTGCTTGGGATTCTCTCTGCCCTTTTCCTGCACTCATACACGTGCTCTCTCCCCCTCCCTCTCTAAAATAAAATTAAAAAGAAAATGAAGAATGTAGGGGAAACAGAGAGGAGATTTGAGAGGACCAGTGTGGGGCCTGTGGATGATACACAGATAAGACGCAGTTTGCAGGAATGAGATGAACCACTGCAGTGACAGCACCTAGTACACAGCCGAGGACTAAAGGAAGGAAACTGTAGCAGGCATCTGACGCCCCTCTGCCTTCTCTTGGGGAGCTCTCAACTATGTTAAAAATGTCTGTAGCTAGAGGGGCCTCGCAGAGTTGAGGACTGACGTGCAGTCGGCGTGTGGCCATTATCAGGATTGTTGTCTTGTTCGCAGAGGGGCCCAGCCCAACGTGGGATGCAGAGTTTCCTGAAGCTGCTGAGGGAGAGTGGGGGCGCTGGCCCACCCCTGGCAGAGCTGGTGACTCTCGCAGGCAGGCTGTGCCGAGACCTCCAGGATGACCCCGCCCAGGTGCAGCCCTTGGTCACAGCCGTGTTGGACAGTCAGCTCCGCCTGCATCTCCTGGACAATGCGGACGTGGCCCTCGTGTGTGCCCGGGTGCTGGCCCAGCAAGAGCAGCACCAGGCTGCCTGCCGGGTGCTGGAGGTAGGATAGATCTGTGACGGGGGTGCAGAGAGGTTCGGCGGCCACCACCATCCCAAACACAATGGAGGTGTGGGGTGAGGTTTCATAAACCAAGCCAGATGGTCCATTATTTTTAGAAATTCTAACTACTGTGTAATCTTAGGCAACACTATCCATTTATGAGATCTATTTTGAGTGGTGGTCCTGGCTTGGGGAGCTGGGTTCCCAGTAGGTGACAGTCAAACAGAGCCAAGCCTTCAGTCCCCGAGCCACAGGTCTGCAGTCGAGAATGCAAACCAAAAGTATCTTTGTCACTCATCTGGTGGTACTTGGATGTGCAACTCATTTGGCATTAATGTGACCTGACCTGCATTGAGGTGAAGCCGTTTATGGTCTTTAGTCACTTAAAGTGAACGTGGTGCCTTCTGCTACCTAAATACCGGTATGTTCGATTGTAGCATGCTGCCTGCCCCAGATTATACGGGAGTGGTGCCTGCTATGTAGTATATGCCTGTGTTACTCCCTAAAGTCTGAGAAATTCTGAATTCCAAAGTACATCTGGCTCAAAGGGCTTCATATAAGGGATTTGGAAGCATGCTTTTCCCTCTTTCACCCCCACGTACAGTTCATGCCTAATTTGTGCTGACTTTACCTTGGAAATCCTCAATTCTTTCCAGTTCTTACAGTTTCCAGTCCTTCCCCCACAGGCTGCGTGGGGTCCTCCTGGATGCTCCCCTGGCCCCTCCTGTCCCCTTGATCTGTTCATGTAGCAGCCACAGGGAATTTGAAAACTGCAGATGGGCCACGGTCTGTATAAGTCTGCAGGTGGCTCAGGAGCCTGCCATCTGAGCTTTCCTGCGCTCGAGTCTCTCTTTCGGGCTCTCCCCTGCTTCCTTCACGTAGCCGTCTGCTTCCTGCTGTTCCTGCAACTCCTGAGATCTTCCTTTGTCTCAAAACCTTTGCATGTGGTCTTGCTTGTCCCAGAGGCTGGAGCCCAGCTCTCTGTGTGCCTGGCACCTTTCTTCTTCTCTGGTTTCTACTGCAAATGTCGCCCTGTTTGGCAGTGCCCACTTTATTCTCCAGTGGAGAGTCTGGTTCACCCGATGGCTCCTTCCTCAGTTCCTAATTAGAATTATTTGTTGGTCTTGGTTTTGTCTGGCCCCCTGGCTGCACTGCAGGCCCCATGAGAGAGGGGCTGCGTCGGTTCTGCTTGTTAGAGGATCCACGACATGGAAGTAAGAGGGGCTAGGTGTTTCTAATCTGTCAAAGTGGATACGGTAAGCAGACAAGGAAAAACACAGAGTTGTAATAACCTCTGTTAAGGCACTGAATGATGAAATGTGTGAATGACACCACTAATGAAAGACTCCCAGGAGAGGGATTATAAACACAGTCTGGATGGTCCAGACATGTCTCGGAGAAGGTGACATGTAGCTGAGACCTGAGAGCTATGATGGGGACACCACATCAAGAAAGGACCCAGGGCCACATCCTGCAGGCAGCAAGATTCCTTTGTACATTCCTGGATGGCTGTGCCCCTCGGCCAGTGAAAGTCACAGTCCAGAAAAATGGGCTTTTTCTGATGCTGTGGAGAGAAAGCTAAATGACTGTCAGCACCTCCTTGCCAAGACGATCCCGAGGACACTGGAGTTAAATGCAAGAACCACACACACTGACTAGAGAGGTTGTGTCTGGGGACGGCCAGCTGCGGGTATCCTTGGCCATCTCCAAAGTCTGGTTATGCAAACAAGTTCCACTGGATTGGTGAGCTGTCACGGGGCACAGACCAGGACTTTATTCCACTTGACTCAGAATGCACACTCTGGGCACCGGAGGGGCCAGCTCTGGGTGGGAGAGAAAAGTCTTTCACACAAGATGTGGGTCAAGCCTTGGAATCACCATGTGGTTCTAACTGTGGCTCTGCCTCTTGCATACTGTGTGGCCCCAGGCCCATAGTCATTTGTGTTCCCCTTGCATCCTGCTCTTCACCTGTAAGGAGTGACTGAGAGCTGTGTTCACCTCATGTGCTGTGTGGGAGGATTGAAGCGCTGACATAACCTGGTGGCTGGCTGGGCCACCAGGGACATAGCACTGAGCCTGCTGGTGATTGGAGCGCTGGGTTCCTGCCCTCATTGCTTGGCACATCAACAGGCAGCTCTTTCCAGGGATCAGACTGGGTCAGATGGCCGTGTTCCAGGTTGGGTAAGGACAGCCGGGTCTCAGCAGGCTTTTCTTGGCAGGGTTGCCATGTGCCTGGAGGCAGCCAGGAGCTGGTACAGCTCTGGAACGACATTCACTACCGTCTCGTCATGAAGCGGCTGGGTGTGGCTGTGCTAACCCCAGTGCAGAAGTTCCGCTGCAGAAAGAGGTACACTGCTGGTCCTTCTTGGTGCTTATTCCCTAGGACTCCTCAGGGCTGTGCCTTCTAAAACCACAGAGGGGGTGAGGTGAAATAGAGGCAGGGAGATAAGTGCAGGAGAAGTCAGAAGAGGCAGTAATAGTCAAAAGGTAATAGGCTCTGTGTCAGCCGGTGTGCCCCACCTACCTGCTCAGCTGGGCGTGGGGTGCATTCCCATTTATGCTTGCAGGGCAAGGAGAAGGAGCTGTTTCCAGGACCCAGGCAGAGAGTTCTAGTTGCAGTAGGAGCCGCTGCCTTCTGGTGAGGGCTCTGCAGGCAAGGGGGCAGCAGGTGGGCACCCTGACCTTACTCTCTTCCTCTCCTCCCCTTCTCCTGTGGGAAATTTCCAGCACTTGTGTCTTAGGTCATCTGATTCTCACAGACAGTCTCTGCAGGTGCCATGGCCTGGAACTCAGTGCCATCCTGTAGGGATGCAGGACCTTTTTAATTAAAGAGAGTAAATATGAGTAATGCAACCATTAGAGGAGATACATGTGGTACTTAGAAGACTGGCTGGCACATGAGAGATGCTGGGTCCGTCCTCAGCACTAAGTAAACATCACAAGTGCTAATTATTATTATTACTCTTATCACCATTTACATGAGGAAACTGAGGCACAGAAAGGTCATCAGCTTGCCCAAGGTTACACACGAGAGAGATGCGAAGCTAGGGTTCCAGGCCAGACACTGAGGTTGTAGAGCCTTTGTTCTCCATCTCGCGTGTTCCCCTCTGAGCAGGAGGGGCTGCAGGTCGTGCTCTGAGCTCCTGCCAGCCCAAGTGACAGGGTGTTCCTGCCCCACAGGGCCTGGTTACTGGCCTGGTTACTGGAAGAAGAGATGGATTCCTTCTGGATCAGAGAGAATTCTTTTCCTGGTGCCCACCAAAGAGTGAGATATGTCCTCCAAACCCATCAGTTAAGCAGCCTTCGGGTCTTCAGGAAAGCAGTCCTGTCCCTCCATATAGGTGCTAATGGCCTGCCAGAGCCCGGTTCAGTAAATGATTTGGGGAGGAGTATGCAGTGTTTGGAAGAGGCCTCTGATTGCTGAGTGCTGTTGGAGGTGCTGGGGGTATAGTCTGGGCCCTGCTCTCCTGGAGCTGACATTGGGTATGGACGGTGGACAGTAGATGAGGAAACGTTGTGGATTCCATAGTCAGAGTGGGGAGTGCTAGACAGAGAATGTGCTTAGTAGAGGACCGTCCCGCCTTTGTTCTTCGTTGTGGGCTGGAGGTTGCAGGCAGGCTCACCTAAGCCTTGGCTTGGAGGCCTGAGCTCCGGGATGGCAGTCCCTCGAGGTGTAAGGAGGGGGTGATACTGGGGTTGCAGCCATGGTTGGTACACCGTCTAAGACGTGGCAGGGTCTCCTAAAGGCGGTTGGTAGAGGAGCGGAGGCAGGAGGTTCTTGGGACTCTCTGAGAGTGGCTACAGAAGGGGTTGTGTCAGAGCAGATTTTGGAGGATTTGCTGAGGAGTGGGATGCGTTGGAGGAGGTAAAGACAGAATAAAGCCAGACTCCAGGGCTCTTGGCCTGTTTGGCTGGAACATGGTGGTTTCTCACTGAGATGCATAGAACTAGGGGAAGATCTGAGAGCAAAGGACCAAGCTTCATTTGAGATGTTGTATGTGTGGGTTGCATTTTTGACATCCATGGCGATTTGTTCATTTGGTGTTTGGGTACCTTGGGTGTTCCCAACAGGTAGTATTTGTTTATATATCACTTTTTCCTTTTGGAAAAACTCATATATATACACAGTAAAGAGAGTAGCATAACCAGCCTCAGTATCCTCCTCATCCACCCTTAGTAGTTACCAGCCATTGGTCAGCTGTGCCTCTCACTGAGCGGTACTAGTGACACCCCTGTGAGGTGGTGCCGTGGAAGGTGGCGCCCTCCCTCCTTCAGGGGATGGACCCCTGGGACTCTGCAGCTTAGAGAGGAGGAGCAACCAGTGATGAGAGGATATCTGGGGGTGCACAGTGTTTGAGAGCACACGAGGTGCACCCAGGAGAAGTGTCTGTAACCACCTCCTCACTGTCCTTATCCAGGAACCCACCACCCCCCTCCCTCTGCCCTGACGGCCTGAAAAGCCGGAACTTTCCCAGAGAGGTTCGCCAGAAGCTGCACGACTTTGCCTCGGGCGTGAGCACCAACCCCAGCAAGGCCGAGCGGGTAAGAACCCAAGAGACTGAGGCTCGGCAACCCCCTTTAGCCGACCCCCCGACCTTAGGCGACACCACCACCCTTCGATAACCCGCACCCTTAGCCCTCCCCTCCCGGACCTCCCGAGTGGCCCGTCCGCCAGGGCGCTGGGGTCTCCGCCGGGGCGCTGGGGTCTTCGGCCCCGCTCTGAACTCCTGAGGATGGGGGCTCATTGGCTGGCAGCTCCCGACCACCCAGCCTGCACTGGAGGAGGGTCTGGTTCAAACGCGGGGTTACCCTATCCCCATCGCTGTTGTGGCGCCTCCAGCCTGAGGGAGGCGCAGCACCGGCAGGGCGCCCCGCCCCGCGCAGCTCCAGGAAGCTGGAGGGACGGAGTGGAGCGGGGCGCGGTTGCTGGGGAGCGAGAGGAGAGACACTCCGGCTGGAAGTTTCCAGTCCCTCCAAAATCCCGGCCTGTTCTCTCCGCCCTCTTCTCTGCTCTGTCCAATCGGCAGGGCCCTCCCGTGTTAGCTCCACCCACTTCCTCCGCTTCTAGAGCTTATCCAGTCAAACCGGGTTCCTGGTCCCCGCTCCGCCCACCGCACTACCTGTCCAATCAGTAGTGCTCTCCTAGTGTCCCCGCGCCTGCTCCGTGGGCTGGATTCTCCCGAGCAGAGCCGTGGTTTCGAGACGAGGGCCTCTGCGGGTTGTTGGGTCACAGGCAGAGCCGTGGTCTCGAGACGGGGCCCTCTGCGGGGTGTTGGGTCACAGGCGCCGGTCACGGGCCGTCGCTGCCCCCTGCTGGTCTGCCAAGCCCTGCCCGACCCCTCCGGGTTTCTGGGTTACCGTCGGCGGGGCCGCAGCTGTGGCGCGAGTGGGGAGCGAGGCCGGGCTGCCGGCAGTGCTGGCGGCGCAGACGGCCAGGCTCGGGCCTCGCGCGCCGAGGCGGCTCAGCGTCGCTGCTGCTGCTGCTCTTGGAGAGTCAGGCCGGGCTCTGGCTCACCTTCTTGGTGAAAGCGTTGTCGGGTCGCCCTTGTGCACCCCGCTGCTTGGGGGACGGTGACAAAGCTAGAGGTTGTGCTGTTTTGGGGCAGGAGAACCTGGCCTTGGAGACGAGCCTGACCGTAGAGCAAGTGTACAACTGGTTTGCCAATTACCGGCGGCGCCAGAGGGCCCTTGTCCAACGCCCGGAGCCAGCGCCGGAGGACACAGTAGAGGACCCCAGTGTGAGGGAGAAGGGTCCGGACCGCCCCCAGCCCTCAAGCCACCCCCACCTTGGCTCTGCGTGTGTGGACAGGCCTCAGTGGCCAGGTGAGTGGCTCCAGGGCTCCCCCCTCCTTGTGGTTGGGGGTTCTTTCAGCCGCCCAGCACCCTTTGTTTAGGGCTAAGCCTAGTTAGGGTCACTCGTTATAGGGACAGCACCTTCACTCCCAGTCTGCACTTTGAGGACATCACCTTGTGGTGAGTGAGATCCCTGAAGGTGAGGGTCAGGATGCCCCCATGTGGGGCCTGCAGCAGCTGTTTTGCATTTAGAGATTATGGCGGGTCCAGGGCCAGAAGTCGTGAGCAGACTTGGGAAGTGAGCCAGTCACCATGACTTAGGCGTTCCTGGGTTTGTAATTATGGATTGGTTTCAGACAAAAGACATTTAAGGGACAAAGGATATTGTATTGAATCAGTGGTTGACACCTTTTTCCAGCCCTAACCTGCTGGGGAGGAGCATCAGCAAGCCTCCCTTCCTATCTTATTGGCTTTCAGCTGGACGGGAGGAAAATGGGCCTGCACAGTCCAGGGAGACCACCCAAGGGCCATGGGAGTCGCTGGCCCTGGCCTCGGACTTTTCTGGAGACAAGATTATGCCAAAGCCATTGCCTCCCAGGTACTGCCATCCCATGGGACCATCACCCTGTGGTGTTTCCCCATCCTGAGTGGGTGACCAGGCCTGGAGCAGGCATGTGAGTCCTGGGGCCAGAAATGGGAGCAGAGACATCTGTCATTCTGGGATGGGAGAGCCACTGGTAAGAAAAGCATCCATGTCAGGGACCCCACACTTGCTCCCTGGAGCCTGGCTCACAGCCTGGCTTAATGTATGTATTACAGAATGAGGAAAACAGATTTGGAAAGAAAAACATGCAGACTTACTTCCTAAAGGCAAACGCTAGTTCTTGTTTCATTTTGTTCCTAGTATTTTTGTATTGTTTGTATTTCACTGAGTCAATAACAGCTAATGTTTCTTGAGTTCCTTCTGTGTACTAGGCACTGTCCAAGCACTCTACCTCACCTGGGACAAGGCATGAACCTGATGTAAGCATAAGAAAAGTGCCAGCCATCACCAGAACTAGGTTAGAACGAGGGGCCAAGTCCTATCTTGTGTAACCATCAAGATGTGGACACTTTCCATTTCCCATTGTGACATCAGCATCTCTCATGACACTATCTGTGCCTGGCCCTTCACATGCAGGCTGGCACTGCCCAGGTATGTGAACTTAGGGTCTCGTGACCTTTCAGTGCCATGCTTTTCTCATCTGCAAAATGAGGAGGCCATGCCATCCAGGTTATTGCAAAGATTATGGGGTGGTAACAAAAGCCCAGGAGCACCATCTTAGATACAGTCAGTATTTGTGCAGTATGGAGTCTAATTATTATCAGCTACTTACTGCCTGATATTGCTATAAGGTCAGCCATCATTATCCACTCAACTGTTAAGTTCTTCCTAATCATTTCTTGTTTTCATTATTGTGGAACAGTGCTTTATTGAAGTTCCTTTTGAAGAAACTACTAATGTATTTTAGGTTTCGAGTAATGGTTGTTTGGTGATTTGTTTTTTAGAGAGAGAGCAAGGGCAGGGAAAGGGGCGAGGGGAGGCAGAGAAAGAGATATTGAGTGTAGGGGAGGGGTAGAGAAAGAGGGAGACAGAGGATCCCAAGCTGGAAGCAAGCTCCTCGCTAACATCAAAGATGCAGGGTTCGAACTCAGCGAACCATGAGATCATGACCTGAGGTGAAGTCAGACTCTTAATTGAGCCACTTAGGTGCCCAGAGACATCGAAAATCCCAAGCAGGCTCCACACTCAGCATGGAGCCCAGCACAGAGTCCAATGCGGGGCGGGATCCCATGATCCTGGGATCCTGATCTGAGCCAAAATCTAGAGTTGGACACTCAAAAGTACTGAGCCACCCAGGTGCTGCAGTAGTAGTATTTTTTTTTTTTATAGTTTATTGTCAAGTTGGTTTCCATATAACACCCAGTGCTCATCCCCACAAGTGCCCCCCCTCCATGAGTAGTAGTATTTTTTTAAAGTGTTCTAGAACCCTCGCAGCTACAGGAAGAACAGTGGAGGCAGTGTAATTAGGGATGTGGTGGGCCCCACAGCCATCAGTGGCTGAGTTGAGTTGGGAACCTGGATTCCCAAACTGGGTTGGAGTCTTCTCCTGGGAGTCTCTGCCCTTCAAGATATGGTGTTGGCTGTCTTCTCCAGGTCTCTGCAGGGTGGCGAGATGTACCAGGAGGGGCCTGGCCATGAACCTGCCACTCTCACCCCCATCTGCCCAGGCCCTGGCCTCTGTCCTCTGGCTGCTGGCAGTGACATGCTGGACCCTTCTATGGCTGCCCCTGAGTCATGGCTGATGTCTCTTGCACTAGCGTCCTCCAAGGAAGTTTCCTTCCAGACCGGACAACTGATTCATGGGCATGGGATGGACTTCATGATGCGCCCCACAGATGCAGCTGTGGCTGTGTCCATCACTGCTCTGGGTGAGCCCAGTTCCACAGGTGGGTCCATTTCAGACCACACTCCTCTGCACAGGATGCCACAACTACTTGGCTCTCATTTGAAGGGTTGTGAGAAAGGCCAATACTCTCCTACTTTTATAGTTTGCAAAATAAAATGTGCATATGACTAAACGTAAGACAGTGAGGAAAGAATTAAAACTAGACAGCTGCCACCCTGCACTCTCCATTCCAGTCCACCTAACTTACCTGTCAACACCTGCTGCAGCAGTGGATGGCTGAGCTTATTGTACCTCCTACAGCATCTCATGATTGAAATAGCACTTCTTTGGTTTCTTCTTAGTTGTTATGTAAAGAGTATTTACATACATATTCAGTCTACCAAATACAAAAGGATCTTGTGACATCTTGCCTTGTAAGGAGGTTATTATTCTATCAATTTGCCTGTCACCTAAATTTTTTAGTCTTCTATGGTTATATCCATACTTTCCTGGAGTTTGTAATTGCCTTTATTTTTTATTATATTACCTGTTTTTATCACATCCTTAACTTCTTCCAGCTTTCCAAGTGTCTCCTCTGAAGACTTGTGGCTGGAGCCCTCCTTCCTGTTTCCATCCAGTGATGTTTCCTTAGACCTGGTGTGGGTTCACCATCCCAAGTACTCTTCTCATTGTCTCTTTGGGTTTGCATCAGTGTTTCCAGAATTGCAGGTCTTATTCTTTCTCCCTTGACTTCTTTGTTACATTTGAGAACATCTTCAATTAATTGTGCAAGAAAGGGTACTTGCAAGATAAATTTTCTGAGTCCTTACATGTTGTGAAATTGTCTTTAATCTGCCCTCAACTTTGATTAACAATTTGGCAGGGAAAGAGTTTTGAGTTTAAATATTTTTTTTCTCCCATAGATATTTACAGATACATTTATATCATTGTTTGCAGCATCTGGTGTTGCTGATGTCATTCTTTTTGCTTTTTTGCAACGTACCATTCCTTGGAGTTTTGTTTTTTAAGTCTGGGTGTTCTGAAATTTCACAACGATGGCCTTAGGTGTGAGTCTTTTTAATTCAATTCACTTTTCTGTTAAGCCTTCCAATTTAAAGAAGATAATAATGTATTCTTTAATGTTTGGTTATATTTGGATAATATTCTTTGATGATTTATCCCCTCAACATTCACTTTGTTCTTTGTTCTCTTTGTTTTTTTTTTTTTTTTTTTAATATTTACTTTTGAGAGACAGAACGTGAGCCGGGGAGGGCAGAGAGAGAGGCAGACACAGAATCTGAAGCAGGCTCCAGGCTCTGAGCTGTCAGCCCAGAGCCTGATGCAGGACTCAAACTCACAAACTGCAAGATCATGACCTGAGCCGAAGTCGGCTGCTTAACTGGCTAAGCCACCCAGGCGCCCCCACAGTTCTCTTTAGAGCACAAATCTTATTCTGATGTTGGAAACCCCGGGCCATCCTCCCAAATGTTTACCTTTTTTTCTTGTATTTCTTTTCTTTTTCATTGTATATGCTTTGGGGATGTTACACTCTGGTTTTCAATATTCCATTTTGACAGGTAGGCTTTAAGAGAATCCAGGATCTTTTTTTATTTGAATTTTCCTTTCTTCATAGATTATGTTACTTTTATTAATTTTTTTTTTAATTTCTGAGAGAGAGAGAGAGAGACAGTGTGAGCTGGGGAGGGTCAGAGAGAGAGGGAGATACAGAATCTGAAGCAGGCTCCAAGCTCTGAGCTAGCTATCAGTCCAGAGTCCAATGTGGGGCTCGAACCCACGAACTGTGAGATCATGACCTGAGCCGAAGTCAGGTGCTTAACCGACTGAGCCATCCAGGTGCCCTGGATTATGTTACTTTTTATAGATGTAGTATCTTTTTTAAAAAATGTTTTTATTTATTTGTGAGAGAGAGAGAGAGATAGACAGTGTGAGCAGGGGAGGGTCAGAGAGAGGGAGACACAGAATCTGAAGCAAGCTCCAGGCTGAGATCATGACCTGAGCCACCCAGATGCCCCTATATCTTTTATTTTTTTGAAACTTCTCAATAGAAGTTTCAAAATCTGCTTTATTGTCTGAAGACAAGAATATTAGGGCTGTGGATTCTGGCCCTTCCTTGAATAGGGAAGGATGAGGGGTCAGAAAGAGGAAGGGCCCTGGAGACTCATTGCTCTGTAGGCAGCTTTTCAGTTTGGTCATATTGGTCCCTCATTTCTTGCTGTCCACGTTTTTTTACCCCCACTGTCAGAGACCTACATTTGCCTGTCCAAATTTACCAACAAGGCTGGAGTGGGGCGGTCACTGGCCAACTTCACACTGGGACGAGGGGAGCTAGTCTTCACACCAGGTCCAGCACATGTGAGGGGTGATGTTCTCTAGGAATTGGTGAGCCTCCCTGCTGACTGCCTGAGCACCAGGATATTAACCCTGCTCTCCCTTATTACTCCCTCCCAACCTCCTTAGGGTTCTCAGGACCTGACCTATACCCCACCTTGCTTTTGGATGCCCTACCAACATAGGGAATTTACTTGTGCCCTGGGTCTGCAGAACTGCGGACGTCTCCCTCCCACTAGTTATCCCTCCCCTGACTCTCCCTCTGTTCTGGGCTTTTGGCTTATTGTTTTTCTCTTGGAGGAAGAAGATATAACCCATCGATCTTTTATGTTTGAATCAGAAATGCTCAAATTAGCACTTAAACTGTATTTAACGTTTCTCAGAGTATTTCTAAAGTTCCACAGACAAGAGGATGGGGCACCTGGGTGGCTCAGTCGGTTAAGCGTCCAACTTTGGCTCAGGTCACGATCTCACGGTTCGTGGGTTCGAGCCCCGTGTCAGGCTCTGTGCTGACAGCTCAGAGCCTGGAGCTGCTTCGGATTCTGTGTCTCCCTGTCTCTCTGACCCTCCCCTGCTCATGCTGTCTGTCTGTCTGTCTCTTTCTCTCCCTCTGTCTCTCTCAGAAATAAATAAAACATTTAAAAAAAAAAAAAGTTCCACAGACAAGAGGAAACAGTATAAAATGGAGGTAGAATCATACACCAAATGGTCAGGAAAGTTCCTTTGGTTTGAGATTATCTGGACAGCTAGTTGGCAGGTTGGGTCATTACTCTGACAAACAAGACAAAGGACTGTGAGCCCGGCCTGGCTGGCCTGTTGTTTTGAGTCTGAGATCAGGGATTCTGATGCTAGGTTTACCACTTGGTAGACTCAGGGAAGACATGCACCTTCCTTCTTATCTTCCTTTCCTCCAAAATGTTTGTTGACCCAGAATTTATCAGATTCACATGGTTTACCTTGAACGATATATGGACTTGTTCTCTTCAATATTTTATGTAGAGAGGGAGCCAGGTAAGGTAGTGACACCTTGCACCTCATTGAAATCATGGTGAAACGTAAACAGTGAAAATGAAAATAGCTAAGGGCTGGTGGACCAGCATGAGATAAACTGAGAAGTGGACTGTCCACTCCCTGTCCTCACACAGCAGGGGTGTGTGGTGGGCAGATTTGGATGCTGAGTCTTTGGCACTGGGTGGCTGGCATGAAGTCTGGGTTAATAAAGCAGAACTTGAAGTCTGCAAAACTCGACTTTGTCTTTGTTTCTGGAAGCCTAAGAAGGCCATTGAGATCAACAGTTGTGACTGTTCCTTCCTCAGCAAGGGAGGCTGAGGCTTGGGGCCTGCCAGGTTGGGTGCTGCTGCCCTTTGTGGAGGTCTTGATTGTGCTGCTTGTGGGCTGTATTCTGTTCTCCCAGCACTGGGTTGTGGAATTTGTTTCTGTGTAGGATTCGCTGACCCACCTGTTGGCAATCCGCAGAGCATGTACCTGGAGGAAGGTCTGGGCACTGGCAGTGGTCAGGAAGAACAACAGGCAGGTGGCTTCCAGGTGACACAGCCCGCGCCACAGCCTCCTGAATTCATCCTGACCCAGAGGTGAGCCATGCAGAGCCATGGGGTTCAGGTGACATTTTCTCAGGTCATGGTTAGGGTATTGCCTGGTGTATAGACTGTGATCTCAGATATGCAGATTGAGTCCTTTCCTTATCAGTGTCTGGAAAAAACCAACATTCTCCCCACCCTGCATTTACCAGAAGAAGAGGGTAGCTTTTCACTGAGACAAAAGAACTCTCAGAAATATCAGAGCAGACATGAGTGTCTGTGTTATGGACAGTGCTCACAGTTTGCATCTTCTCCAAGATCACCCTGGGTCCCAGCAGCCTCTTTTTTGGCATTTTCTTTTCCCTAGACAGAGATTGAGTTTTTGAGTAGCATCAAGTTGGATATTATATTCCAAACTGTAGTTTCAAAGGGCCATGAACAGCCTAAGTGCTGTAGATTTTAGCCATGGGGGCCAGGATAACAGGCCAGGAGAATCTGGCGGTAGAGAAGAGGGATAGAAGAGTGTGAGAAGTTAGGGGTCCTCTTGCAGACAGGGAATCTATGATAGGGGTAACCAGGACCAGGTTCCCAGGGTTCATAGTCTCCCCAGTCTGGGAGCTGAAAGCCAGGAGCACAGTAAGGGCAGAGCTACAGGGCAGTGTGTGAGAGAGAAAGGGAGCAGTTCCTCAAGTCACAGAGTCTTCTTGCTGAAACAGCATGATGAGAAAAATGCAGACTTTGCAGATGGACTCACTTTTCTACTCGCGATCAGGAACCGTGATAGTGAAAATGCCCCCACTGGGTACCTTTGTAGTTTGCTTGGTCTCCCCACTGGCCGTATCAGCCTTGGACTCCCATGGCCCAGGCCATCATTCCTCTGATCTGATGACCTTGATTCCTTTTTTAAAAGTAAATTCATTGGGGCATAATTGGCATTCAGTAAAGCAGCATGTTTAGATGGCACAGATAATAGTTTTCTGAGTGCAACTTATGTATCGACCATGAAGCTTTAACTGCTGAGCCGTGTAGAGCAGCCCCACCTGCTTCTACCCCTGACACCCCCAGGACTGTGGATCTGCTTTCTTTAGCTGCATTTTGTGGAATTCCATGTAAATGAAATCCAAAACTTTTTATTTATTTATTTATTATTTTTAAAATTTTTAAATGTTTTATTTATTTCTGAGAGAGAGAGTCAGCGTGAGCAGGGGAGGGTCAGACAGAGAGGGAGACACAGAATCCGAGGCAGGCTCCAGGCTCTGAGCTAGCTTTCAGCATAGAGCCTGATGCGGGGCTCGAACTCCTGAACCGCAAGATCATGACCTGAGCCGAAGTTGGACGCCCAACCGACTGGGCCACCCAGGCACCCCTGAAATCCAAAACTTTAAATTTGGGTGGGGAAGGGGTCTGGCTCTTTTCACGCAGCCTGAGTATTTTTGAGATTTTCCCCTGTTGCTGTGTACATCAGCAGTCCATTCCCCTTTATCAGCAAGTTCTGGTCCTTGATGTGGCTGTACCATGGTGTTTTGATCCATCACCTGCTTGTAGGCATTGCTGAGTCCCCAAGTTGGGGTTGCTTTGAGCATTCCTGGACATGTGTGTCTGCATGTTTGCCTTCAAGTCTCTGGGGTGTGTACACAGAATGGCTGTGTAGGTGTGCGTCTGCCTGTTCAGGGAACTGCCAGACCGTTGTCCCAAGAGGCTCCACCCACTGCCTTCCCTGCTGTCCCCACTGTGGTGCTAATGGCCTCTGGTCTCCTTCACACCCGCGGCCTGTCCCTTCTTGACCTCTTTCTTCATGTTTCCACTTGTTGGCCCTTCTCTGCGAGCCTGCCCTGAAGTAGTCTCTGGCTCACCCAAGCCACCTACTGGAGATGGTATCCAGGCCTCTCTGGCATCTGCACACTGGAGGCCCTGTGAGAGGACAGTGTTCCTGAAGAGCGTCCAGCACCTGGGACGGCTCCTTATGTGCAGAGAACGGTCAGGGCATGTAGTGACTTGGCGCCCCATAGAAACAGAGCTTGCTTGTCCTGACATCATCTCTTTTCCAGCCCCCTGGAGTTGGCTCCGGGCCCCTCCTTCTCCAGCCCTATGTCTGCTGTGGACCTGAGCCAGCCCTTGCCCTCCAGCCAGGTGAGACCCTACTACCAGGTATCGTGGGTCTCCCTCTGAACTCTTGGATTCTCAAGTCATGCCTTTGGAGTGAATAAAGAAGGCAGATGGAACAAGGGGTGGGGATGCCTCAAGGCGGGATGTCAGTTGAATGGGAGCCGGGTGCCATGGGCTAGTGTTTCCCACTGAGTCCAGAGAGGGTAGGTCCCAAGGTAGGGGTGCCTGAATGGGAAGGTGGAGCCAGGCACAAGGTGCTTCTGTGTGTAATACTGTGTTGGCTTTCCAGGTGCAGTGGCCCGATGACCAGTCCTCCAGTGATGCCTTCTGGGGAGCCAGGATGCTTCTTGAGCTCTCAGGGGGCAGCCTGGGTTGAGATATCCCTTTGGGGTATCCAGCCAGTGCCCTGGGGAGCAGGTGTAGACATCCAGCCGTTCAATACACGTTACAGAGCTTTATTCCGACTGAAAAATGGACCCCAGATTTCCTTAGGGGGTTCCAGTGAGAAGCATTGGGGACCAGTTAGCCCCTGCCATGTTTCATAGTTTGGTTGGCAACTCACTGTATTGGAGGAAGTATTTGAGAAATGCTCTTGAGCTCAGAAGTCAGAGGGGTCTGTTTCACTCAGACTGTGAGAGATTGTGGCATCAAGCTCCTGGGCAGGGAAGGCCTTTCCAGAGCAAGAGGAGAATGTTGTGCTGTCATGACAAGGCCACACTTTACCCATTTAAGTTGGTGAGTGGGGCATGGGCAGTGTTCTGACATATCTCTGTCTTAGGGGGTTGGGATTGCTCAGGCAAGATGAGACACGGTACATTTCCCCTTGAGGTTATAATTCATTGTGTTTGTAAAACAAATGTTATGTTCAATTAAATTACAGTTTAATGTTTTGAACTCCCCTTTTTACTCACTTAACTATATCTTGGACACCTGTCCCTTTCAATCCTTGGTGTGCATTTCATGGCATGAGTGTGCATTGATTGATGAATCAGTACCCTATTGATCTGATTGTCTGTAATGTCTCTGTTTTATAAACACTGTCACAGTGGGCACCTCTGCCCTTAGCCCTTTACCTATTTTTTGGTGGGAAAAGGAGTTGCCCTGGTGCTACAAGTCCCTGTGTCCAAGCACACAGGACCCAGGGGAGCCGACTGTGATGTGACTCCTGTTGCATGTGATCTTCCTTTGCAGGGGAGACTTTGATACTCATGACTGTCACCCTCAGGAGTAGGTCCTTGGTCTTTGCCTCTCCCATTGTGTCAGTCGACAAATGTGTGCTGAGCAGTTTGTGTGATACAGCAGGGAGCAAAGTCCATTTCTTGCTCTTAGGCAGCTCTCAGGATAGACAGGAATAAGGGACAATCACGGGTAGTTGCTAGGAGGATCCAGGGTATGTGGTGTATGAATGATGAGACACCCGGCACTTCCTAAAGGGGGGGGGGGGGCACCTGAGCTGAGACCACATGTGCTCCTGGCCCTCACCTTGCCTCTGCAGACCTTCTTCATCCCCAAAACAGCATGTCCCAAGCGTCAGGAGTAATGTGTACTTCCACTTGGGGACATTCGCTCGCATTCAGTGTTCCTAGAACCAAGCCTTTCAGCTGTCAAATATTTTTTTGTGAAAGTCACAAACTTATAAAAAGTTGCAAATAGAACACAAACATTTCTGATGCCTGTCATTGCTCTACTACCTCTGTGTGTCTCCTTTAGATAAGGAATTCTCCTACATTCCCATAGAGCAATTACCAAAATCAGGAAATCAGTACTGATACTTTACCACCTTTTTCCAGACCCCATTAAAGTTCATTCAGTTGTCCCATTAGCACCCAAAGTTACAAAAGATCCCATCACATAGCACATGCTGCATGTTCTCGATGCGTCTTTCCTTGCCCTTCAGCCTGCAGCAGTCCCTATTCTTCCCTTGACTTTTATGACTGACACTTTTGAAGAACAGAAGCCAGTTATACTGTAGCATGCCACCCGAGATGGCCGGGCCTGATGCTTCCTTGTATTTTGGGAAGTGATTTTTTGGAAGGAATATCCCAGAAGTGACAGCAGGTACTTATGTCTTACAGGTAGCCAGTGATTTTGATTGTCCCATCATTGTTGGTGCTCATTTTGGTTTGGCTTGGTGTTTTGTTTTGTTTTGTTTTTTACAAATAGTTTATTGTCAAGTTGGTTTCCATATAACACCCAGTGCTCATCCCCACAAGTGCCCTCCTCCATGCCCATCTCCCCCTCCCCCCACACACCCATGAGTCCTCAGTTTGTTCTCAACATTCAAGAGTCACTCATGATTTGCCTCTCTCCCTCTCCCCCACCATTTCCCCCCTTCTTCTCCCCCACGGTCCTCTGTTAAGTTCCTCCTAATCCTCCTATACGTGCAAACATACGATATTTGTCCTTCTCTGCCTGATGTATTTCGCTCAGCATAACCCCCTCAAGGTCCATCCACATTGCTACACATGGCCAGATTTCATTGTTTCTCATTGCCATGGAGTATTCCATCGTATAGATAAACCACATCTTCTTGATCCATTCGTCTGTTGATGGACACTTAGGCTCTTTCCACGTTTTGGCTATTGTTGAGAGTGCTGCTATGAACATTGGGGTACATGTGCTCCTATGCATCAGCACTCCTGTGTCCCTTGGGTAAATTCCTCGCAGTGCTATTGCTGGGTCCTAGGGGAGTTCTATTGTTAGTTTCCTGAGGAACCTCCACACCGTTTTCCAGAAGGGCTGTACCAGTTTACATTCCCTGTTGGTGCTCATTTTGATCACCTGATTAGGGTGTTTTCTGCTGAGCTTCTGCACTACAAAGTTACTGTTTTTGTATATTTTGGGGGGCGGTACTTTGAAACTATGTAAACATGCTGTTTCTCATCAAGCTTTTTTTTTAATTTTTTTTTTTTTTACAAATAGTTTATTGTCAAGTTAGTTTCTACATAACACTCAGTGCTCATCCCCAAAGTGCCCTCCTCCATGCCCATCCCCCCTCCCCCCCACATCCATCAGTCCTCAGTTTTTGTCAGCATTCAAGAGTCTGTCATGGTTTGCCTCTCTCCCTTTCCCCCACCATTTCCGCCCTTCTTCTCCCCCTTGTTCCTCCATCAAGTTCCTCCTAATCCTCCTATACGTGCAAACATATGATATTTGTCCTTCTCTGCCTGACTTATTTCGCTCAGCATAACACCCTCAAGGTCCATCCATGTTGCTACACATGGCCAGATTTCATTGTTTCTCATTGCCATGTAGTATTCCATGGTATAGATAAACCACATCTTCTTGATCCATTCATCTGTTGATGGACACTTAGGCTCTTTCCATGTTTTAGCTATTGTGGAGAGTGCTGCTATGAACATTGGGGTACATGTGCTCCTATGCCTCAGCATTTCTGTATCCCTTGGGTAAATTCCTAGCAGTGCTATTGCTGGGTCATAGGGGAGTTCTATTGTTAGTTTCCTGAGGAACCTCCACACTGTTTTCCAGAGGGGCTGTACCAGTTTACATTCCCACCAACAGTGTAGGAGGGTGCCCGTTTCTCCACATCCTCGCCAGCATCTAGAGTTCTCTGATTTGCTCATTTTAGCCACTCTGACTGGCGTGAGGTGGTATCTCAGTGTGGTTTTGATTTGTATTTCCCTGATGAGGAGGGATGCTGAGCATCGTTTCATGTGTCTGTTGGCCATCTGGATGTCCTCTTTGGAGAAGTGTCTGTTCATGTCTTCTGCCCATTTCTTCACTGGGTTGTTTGTTTTTCGGGCGTGTAGTTTGGTGAGTTCCTTATAGATTCTGGATATTAACCCTTTATCTGATATGTCATTTGCAACTATCTTTTCCCATTCCGTTGGTTGCCTATTAATTTTCTGGGTTGTTTCCTTGGCTGTGCAGAAGCTTTTAATCTTGATGAGGTCCCAACAGTTTATTTTTGCTCTTGATTCCCTTGCTTTTGGGGATGTGTCAAGTAAGAAGTTGCTGCGGTGGAGGTCAAGGAGGTTGTTTCCTGCTTTCTCCTCTAGGGTGTTGATAGTTTCCTGTCTCACGTTCAGGTCCTTTATCCATTTTGAGTTGATTTTTGTGCATGGTGTGAGAAAATGATCTAGTTTCATTCTTCTGCATGTTGCTGTCCAATTCTCCCAACACCATCTGTTAAAAAGGCTGTCTTTTTTCCATTGGATATTCTTTCCTGCTTTGTCAAAGATCAGTTGGCTGTATACTTTTGGGTCCACTTCTGAGTTCTCAAAACCAAAACGGGAGGTATCACCATCCCAGACTTCAGCCTCTACTACAAAGCTGTCATCCTCAAGACAGTATGGTATTGGCACAAAAACAGACACATAAACCAATGGAACAGAATTTTTTTTTTTAATTTTTTAAATGTTTTTTATTTATTTCTAAGAGAGAGAGAGACAGTGTAAGCAGGGGAAGGTCAGAGAGAGAGGGAGTCACAGACTGAAACAGTCTCCAGGCCCTGAGCTGACAGCACAGAGCCCGACGCGGGGCTCAAACCCACGAACCGCGAGATCATGACCTGAGCGAAAGTCGGACGCTTAACCGACTAAGCCACCCAGGCGCCCCTCTCATCAAGCTTTCTATTGACTCCTGAATCTCTCTAATGTGTGTAAATTCTCAGAATTCATGAACACATCACCAGCTTCCCTCATATACATTCATGCAGTGTGCACTCATGAAGATTCACTCCTCAGCCTTATTATGTACCAGTCAGCTGAGTGGTGATTTCTTTTAATAACTGAGGTACAGCTCATTGTGCATGACCTGTCACCTTAGGAAGCACACTGTTCAAATTCATTCTGCCCTCCGTCGTTCAAAGTCTGCATAAAATGTCAGCACAGTTGGTAAACACACTGTCGTGTAAGGGTTAGAGGATTAGGGACTAACCCTGGACTGCTGTGAGAGGCACTACCGTTTGGCCTTCCTCAGAAACATGCAGAGTTCTGGACCCATCCCAGTCATGGCCTTAACTGAGATCCAAGGAGGTATCTGGGTGTGAGGTGGTCACAGTCCGAGGCAAGACCCTTCTGAAAGCACAGTGCAACGACCTCCCCGGTATCTTCCTTCCCAATAACTTTACAGACACAGGACTTAGTCTTGAAAGTTCAGAGCATTGACTCAGCCAGCTGGAGCATGTCCATTTTGTGGGCAATGGACTAAAGTCTCTGGAGCTGACCCTTGACAGACTCCAGCTCCTTTGGAGGGCCACCTGTGCAGTGGTCAGATGGCTTGTGTGGATGGAGGCTGGTCAGCAACTGTGGGAAGGGCCTCCACTCAGCATTTCACCATCCAGCCCCCACTCCGAGGCCTGCCCCCCCCCCCGCTTTTCTGTCCTGCTGTTAAAGCAGCAGGGGAGGGGCAGAGAGAGAGAGAGAGAGGGAGACAGAGAATTCTAAGCAGTGGTACAGAGCCTGAAATGGGGCTCAATCCCTTGAACCGTGAGATCATAACCTAAGCTGAAATCAAGAGTTGGATGCTTGGGAATGCCTGAGTGGCTCAGTTGGTTAAGTGTCTGACTCTTACATTTTATGAGTTTGAGCCCTTCATGGGGTTCTGTGCTGACAGAGCAGAGCCTGCTTGGGATTCTCTCTCTCCCTCCCTCTCTGCCCTTTCCCTACTCGATCTCTCTGTCTTCACCTAAATGAATAAATTAAAAAAGAGAGAGAGAGCTAGAGGCTTAACTGACTGAGCCACTCAGGTATCCCAAAATGGTTCCTTTTATCAAAGCTTTGGCAGCTCATAATTATAGCACACCATAGTACTTTTCACAGATTGTGGTTGTTTCTGGGCAGAGGCCCCAGCACAGACAAAGGAGAAACACAGACCATCTTGGCTGAAAGTGCTT